TAATGGCTGAAGTCCGACCAGAAACCAGTTTGTTGTGACGACTGGTTCTTGCATGAAGCCCACTGTCTCTATTGGCACTCATTTAACAAACATGTAAATCCTAAAAACTCCTGAAATTCAGATGTTTTATGACTAAACGGGCGCTTGGAGAGCACAGACCTCCGCTAAGGCCAGTGCCTTATCTTACACCTTCTAACAGAAGTGATGTGGATGAATTTAACGGGTTCTTCCTTCGACCACGCTGCACCGCTTCAGTGAGGTTAATCAACGTCTAACTGACAAACGGTGAATGAAAACTAAAATGTGAAGGTCATACGGTGTAAACACATGTAGACTCTGCAGTTAGCTAAATTTAGCTTAAAATGAATGATTGAAAAGAGTTTGTGACATCAGGGAAGCGTATGGTGACAAGAAATAGACCCGACTGGAGATCCGCCGTCATCAACCGGCTCAAAGGCAGAACATGTTAACGTGAGAAAATGAATGTAACGCAACGGAAGGACAAAACCCTGGATGGTACATGAGGTTCATGAAGTTCTTGTGTTTTCTTAATAATATTGCCATTTGTCATATTTTTTTTTGCACAATACAGACGTATTTAACCCTTTTACTACACTTTAGTTTTAGCTCCTGAGGTAATAGGCTTCCACTCCCCTCCACTGATGTAGCTGCTGCTGCTGCCATGACGACTTCATCCATCGTTTTTAATCAGATTTTATCATATTTAATTAATACATAAAGGTTAAAGGCAGCGTCATGCTTCCAGAAATCAGCTAGAACAGATTACACATACTCTTATTTAACAGTGTACTGGTGAAGTATATGCAGAGTTCATGGCAGACGTTTGTCGACGTCTGAGCTGTTCTGATGGAATGACTGGAAGCCTATTACACCTGGAGGACAACACTACAGTCGAGGAGACGTGCTATCTGACTGGCGTACGGTGGAGGCGCTGCAGCAGCAGGAGAAGATTTAAAAGCCAATCTGGAGGAATGGAAGTCTGCAGCATGAGCTTGATGAACATTCAAATACATGAAATCTTTCCAGCTGTTGCTTTCTAAATGTAAACCAGTCTAACATCATCGGTGCCCGTCAGACTCGAGTGAAGCATGACAGTCACTCTGCGAGTCGCTCAGCAGCTAGCATGTAGCCGCCGCCGCCGCTAACCGAAGTACCACAGGGCCGCTGAATGTAAGCAGACAGACAGACAGACAGACAGACAGACAGACAGACAGACAGACAGGGTGACACAGTGAAGCAGCTTCGCATCTAAACCTTTGGTTTTTTTGGTATAGTGTGTTGTAATACAACCAACATTTATTTATTGTTTTTACAGTTTTCTGTCCAATTAAATCTCTTAATTAGCTTGTAAATCTGACCATGAAGTCATTTATTACTGTTGATTTAAATTATGAACTAAATCAACTTTCTGTAGTGTGATTTTTATTTTTCTTTCTTTCTTTCTTTTTGGCTTCTAGGAGTCTATGACAGAAAATGCACTATGAAAGTATTGAAGTATCTGACCTATTAAATCTGGCCTTGATTTTACTGACATGTTTCAACCACTTGTGATTATACAGCCTGATGTATGAGAAGACAGAAACAGAGAAATCACACAACGCTCATTTTCTTTCACAAAGACGTTTGGTTGGGGGATAGATCCGGCTCATCCTGTCCAGTCACACTGCTGTTGGAGGTGCTCAGTCAGACCTGAAAGCATCGGCGTGATTAGAATTGAAATGATAGCAAACAAAGCGTACACAGATATTAACAATCATACAATTATTTATTAAATGAAGTACGCTGAGATTGTGAGAATAAATCTTAAGTTCAAGACAAAGCTTACACATTATCACCATCAGACCCAATCAAATGAGCAACAGGAAACAGAATTAAACAGCAGACGTGATGATTTGGTGCCCATGTTTTATATTGGAACAGGTAAAGAAGAGGGTAAGGTTAAGCTCCACAACGCTGTCTCAGAGAATGATCTGGCGTTACCTCGTCATCATTCTGTGCTATGGCTGCTTGTTTGTACGTCTTTAAACCGATCACCATCATCGCGCCGAGCCCAGGATGCAGTGATGGTACCCCGCCAAAATAGTGGCAGAGGAATTCTTTCAGGGGAACATTTGCACGCAAGCAGAGGAGCTCTGCAGGTAAAGAGATTTTAAAGATGGTAATTTGCAGACAGTGGAAAGGGGAGGAAATGGACACATGAAAGACCTACACCAGCGACTCAGACTAGAGTTAGATTAAGGTCGGGGAAGGCTGGGTCTCGGCTCGGGTGAAAGTATGTTTGGATTAAGACTGGCACAGATCTCCACTGAATGAATCCAAGTCACAGCCGTGTGTGCTGAGGTTAAAGTAAGCGTTTGGGTTAGCGGTGATGGTAAAGGTTAGCGGGGATAAAGTGTGTGTGTGTGAGTCTGTGTGTGTGTATAAGTGTACATGTTTGAGATCAAACAGGCAAGAGAGTAAATCCTCTCCAGACACAATATGACCTCTGACATTTGACCTTTGTGTGTGTGTGTGTGTGTGTGTGTGTGTGTGTGTGTGTGTGTGAGAATGGCCTATCCCTGGGTGGTGTTTGTTTTATGTACTGCAAATGAAAAGGGAGCAGAGGGCAGCGATGTGTGACCTATGCATACACTCCTGTATACACACAGACCGCAGTGCAGGTCTCCATGTACGTATAGCTGCAGCGCTGAAGGAAGGAAGGAAAGGTCTTAAACATACGTACATGTGTGTAATATGTTGTGTTGTTGAAGAAAAGGAGCCGCCATGTAACCCACCAGCTCTCTCACTGCTGCTGCTGCTGATGATGTTGACCCAAGCGTAGTCTCAGGAGGCGGAGGAGGATGATGATGACGAAGGTCACGGTGTTTATTTAGTCCATCTCAGACCTGTGGGCCCTGGTCGTCGTCCTCTGGTGGCGTCCCAGTCCAGAGAGCCTCACTTAAGGCTGATGGAGATGATGGATGACCTCCTGAGCCCCGGAGCCTCTGCACTTCATCAGCAGGAGCAGCCCCTGCTGCTGACACTGCAACACACACACACACACACACACCCCTCTACACACACACACACACACACACTCTGACGCTACAGGTACTGCTGCTACTGTTACTACGGTTACTAGCGACACACATCCATGACCTGTTCCTGCTTCTATCAGCATTAACGCACACATGAGCAGCTGCATTATTACAGCAGGTTTGATTTGTTCGTACACAAAGACAATAAGAATGATTATTTTGGTCAGAAAAACTCGGCTTCCCTTTTAAAAACTCATCTCACACACACAGACACACACCTACACACACACACCTACACACCTACACACACACACACAGACACACACACACACACACACACAGCAGCCCCTGTTCGCTGTGGATCACGGCTGTAATAAACAACACGCTCTCTCTGTTAAACTCGCCCACCAGCATGTTTACACCGTGTTTTAAAAATGGTTGTTTTTCAAACCTAAAATACCACAAAGTCCAAAACACTCTGCTCCGTCTGAAAAGAAATAAAAATAGAGAAGACCAGGCAGTGAGGATTTCCATTTCAGCAAAAAGGATAAACTCTTTTCTTTTCTTTTCCTGAACCAGGACTCGGGCCGACCCGGGGAGGCTCCACAGACGACTTGTTTTCCTCACGGACGAGGAAACCTTCCGACCACTTTGGACACATCGAGGCTCGATGATATGAGTCCAAACCTGCAGGGAGGAGAGTGAAAGGTACGATATGGACGAGACCTGCAGCCACATGCAGGAGACGGTGACTGCCATGATTCTGGATGTTTATCCTGTACAAAGTGTGACCCTTTGGTATTATATATTACATATAGATATATAACAGTCCAGGCAGTGAGGAGGAGCCCGCTTTTGGTTTTGATAGAACTGTGACTCATGCAACAATAAAAGAACAGAAATGCTGCTTCAAAAACGATCATAAAACCTGCTGTAATCCCACCAAATGCTGAACCGAGCCGCACATCTACAGAACTGTTGTTAAAGCTAAATAAGAAACATCACCGAAATAAAGACAGAAATTAAAATCAACACACAACATGTTATATACAGTCAATACACACCAAATATTATATTATACTGTTCTATTAT